GATTTCGTGGACGAACGAAGGGCCTTTAGTTCGGTATGGTGGTCGTGGTGCCTCATGTCGGCTGGAAGGCAAACGCCTTTAACAAGGTTGAAGGCCATCCAGTGGTCTTTTTTTGTGACCACTGAGTCAGAATCCATGATAGCGCGGTTCTGAAATGTGATCTTTGGTACCCACTTTGAGGAGCTAGTTCGTTCTGAGCGCTCAGGTGGAGGGCTTGGTGAATAGGTTCGAGGCACCACGGTTTCATCCTCGTCGACAAGGAGTGGCTCAGTTATAGAAGTCCGAGCACGCTTGCTTAGACGAGATGATGAGGGCCGAGTGGTTGGTAAGGCCACCACGGTCTTTTTTGGTTGGCTTGCTGGTGGTACCTCGGCTTGGTTTGTTTCGGTTAGAAGGGCCCTCACTGCTATTTTCTTGGCCATTTCTTGTTCGGCAGTTAGTAGGATGAGATTGATTTGAGGCAAGGATAGATCTGGCTCTGGCGAAGGCTCAAGGAGGAAATTGGTCACTCTGGTCTTCCTGCGGTTACTATATCTGTAGGTCGGTTCGAAATTCAGTAGCTCAGCCCAGTCTTTGTTTGGATATCGGAGTGCGGCATGAAGTACGTTTAAGTTTGGGTAGCTGTACTGAGACTTGAGGAAGTTCAAATCTGCATGAAGTTAGGAAAATACGGTTAGTTCGGTTCAGGAAGTGGAAACCGAAGTAAAGAAAAGCATGCAAATAAAACCGAGGTAGTCCTACCGCTACACCCTTGTTCCAATTTATTCTGTCGCCCGGGATCTGAGCTTTTGGTCTTTAAAGTTCCCAGATACCCAGAGGAAATCATCGTCATTCATATCTTTATCCGGGGTATTCTTTATTATCTTTTCACGCCGGCGCCTTATTCTTAAATAATGAACCCACCCATCTTCATTTGAACATAAGGAATATTGGTGGAAAAGCTCGGCTAAACCGAGGTTAAGGCCAGCCCGATGGTTTAGCTCGGCAATACCATTTATTATACGGTATGAATTTGTGAAAAGCTGGGTGGGGCAGAGGTTGGTTTGCTTAAGAAATTCACAGAGAAGAGGCTGTACAGGGAATCTTAATCCAGTTTCTACAATGGAAAGAAGGGTAAAAGGAACAAAACTAGGGTTTCCCCAAGGTATGATATCTAGCTCGGCTAGGGTGAGGTGGACATCATCAGGGATATGGTAGTCCCTTCGGAACTCGGCCATAGCACCTGGGTTGTTTACCAGATATCTATATTTACCCATGAGGTTTTAAGTTATGAATAAATAAGCGAGGTATTAGCTCGGTCCTGAAAGGACACTCAGTAGCTCGGTCGAGCGTTCAAAGGAGTGCCTGGCAGCCTAAGTCTGCAAAGTGAAAAAAGAGAGGTGTTAAGCACAGATCGTTGGACCGTGCTAAAAGAGACAATGGCAAAAATAAAAAATAAAAGTCCTAGCTCGGCTACGTGGGCCACTACCCTTTCTTAGCCCGGTTTTGAGCAAGGGTCCTTAGCCTGGTTAAATCTTTAGGGCAGCATTCTTAGTTCGGTCTGAACTAAGGGAGCTGGTTTAGCCTCAAGTTTTAGCCCGGTCGGTGGTTGAGGCTTTCTAGCACGGTAATGGGCAAACTTAGTGCGGTTCGATAGCTCGGTTAAAAGAAGCTGAGGGTCCCTAACTTATGGAAGCTATAAGTATGACGTGAAGTTTTAGTTCGGGTGTTAGGTATGGCTAGGTTTGCGCCTAATACAAACAGTATCCTAGTTCGGTTGGGGTATGATTTTGGATCAAATACAGTGCTTCTCAGATTATTCGTGAAATACAAATGGTTTTTATTACGTGGTTTTTCCCAGAAAAATAGAAGCAGACATGGTATGTATTTTGGAAAACATATGAATACTAAACTATGTATTGCAAGAACAGTACAAAATAAATGAAAAAGAAACAGATTCGAACCACTTACCAGCTCAAGATGGAGGAACTGAAGAAAGGAGTGATGGCAGCAAGAACACGAGCTCTACAGTTGCAGTGAGAAAGAGAGAAGAAACTTGGAAAAATAAAGGCTCAGAGAGAGAGGGAGATGAATAGAGAAATGATTGATTCAAGAACAAAGGGTTTGTTTTGTGTGAAATGAAGGAAAAAAGACGGGACTGTTCAAAAGTTGCGAAATACGAAGACGGCGTGACAGCTGCGCTGGGCTAATCAGAGTCTACCACGTGTCCTTGGAATGGAAATCGATTCAGTTATAGCGACTGAAGAGACGTTTTGACTGGACAGATTGCTAGCATGGTATGAATTTAGCTCAGTTGAACGGCTAAAGTTTTTAGCTCGGCTGGTAACAGGTAATCCCTATCATGCTGCGTAGATGGAATTAAGGGGAAATTGAGAGGGTAATTTATATGTAAATTGGGCCGAGCTGGGAAATGGGCCGTTCTATGGGCCATAGTAAGAAGGGCTTAGTAAGTGGACCACAGTCCAAGTGTTAGCTCGGTCAAGGTATGGAAATGACCTTGCAAGTGTTAGCTCGGTCCAAGAATAACCACGGTCGGAGTAGAGATAGTTAGCTCGGTCATACCATATTCTGCCGAAGTATGTTGGCTTCTGCTTAGGACCTTGCTGTTAGATAGCTCGGTCCAAGCTCATTGTGGATAGCACGGTTCCAGACAACCCAGTTGGAATATGTCAACCGAGGTACACGCGCAGTGAAAGAAAGAACCGAGCTAGTTGGAGCTCGGTCTAGTTTACGGCTTTAGCGTAGCCATGTTATCTCAGTTGTATTGATATCCAACCATGGTAAAACCATCTCACTTGATTTAAGCAGTGAGGGGGGTGTTGAAGGATAAGCATTATCTTTCAGGAATGTGATTCTTAAGAAGACTCCACATGGAGGAGTAAGAGTCCTACTAGGATTGTGCCACACAGAACCTATAAAAGCTCATAACATCACCTATGGAGAGGTAATACAACTTTGATTCCCGAAGACTCAGAGCTTTTTGTCTATTTGTCTATTTTGCTGACTTAGGCATCGGAGAGGTATCCGGCACACACCCGCCGGCTAGCTCACGTTTGTGTTTTCAGGGAGTAAAACGACGTTGTACGGAGGAGCGCAGACTTGATCAACAGGATTATACGAGAAGGTTTATTTCTTTTCCGCACAGACTCCATTATAATTAAGTTGGCCGGAGTGTCTTGGGTGAAAGTCCCGAAATTATACATGGGTGCCTAGCCCGCGGACGAAATATCCATAAAATGACAATTGTAGTGCTTGTATAGCCTATGTTTACATGGATCCCGCTTGACGGTTGCCCGCAAACGAAATATCCGTAAAAGAATACATTGGTCCCGTTTGACGGTAGCCCGTGGATGAAATATCCTTGAAAGAAAAGTTTGAAGTGCTTACATGTTAATAATGTGGTTCTAGAACTAATGAGTTGTAACCTCATTTGGGTTGTTGAGAAACGATGAAATTGGCTTATGTAATTAAATGAAATGAAGGGAAATGACTTAATGATTGAATTTGGTAATTTAAGACTATACGAAACGTGGATGCATTTTTCCTTTGACGTTGTATATACATAGTGTACTTATACCTTTGCTAAATTCCATATACTGTGTTAGATGGTTTCTGCTGGGCTGTGGCTCACCCTACTTGGGAATAACATTTTCAGGTAATGATGGCATACCTCCACTAAGGCAATAGTGTCGGAGAACTTTTGGAAGCAAGGAATTCTCGTTTTGATTGTATATTTTTGTAAAGCTAAGGGCTTAAGATGTAATGAGCGAAGCTCACTTTTGATTGCATTACATGCTGTAGATTCAGAATGAACGTTTATGAATGTATAATGCATGTAATCTCTTGTGTAATACGAATTCTATTATGTGAAAGTGTACTAATTATGTTATATTCATCTCTCTTATGAGTCGGGTTGTTTGTATTATTTTGAGGGCGTTACATGATGCTTGGGGATGGATTTTTAAGCTTTTGAATATCGTTATTATCATTATTGTTGGGACTTAAGATCAAGTAAACATCGGATTATTATATTATGTGTGTTTAAATGTTTATTCTTAGAGGTTTTGTCCTTGGTCATCGGTGGAGGATGATGTTGTGATCCCGAATAGATTATGTGTATGTAGTACACTCAGGTTATTTATAACTATTGAATTATGTGATGGTTGGGAATATGCTTGCGTTTCGAATGAGAGGTACCATTACCTTTCAGCTAGCGCCTAGAGAATTGGCTGCACTTATAATAAAAGGTACCATTACCTTCTAGCTAGCGCTTGGAGAATTGGCTGCACTTATAATGAGAGGTACCAGTACCTTCTAGTTAGTGTCTGGAGAACTTGGCAAAAGTACCATTACCTTCCAGCCGGTGTCTGGTAAATTGGCATTTTGTTATAGAAAGGTATATCCTTGGCTTACCGTGCTTAAGACAGGTAAAGTAGAACTTATTTATCGTTATTGTTTCAGTGTATTTGTGTATATTATGGGTTACAATGGCTATGGTTCAGGAAGACCGAATTGTCTCATTTGTTGAGTAGATAATTGTTGGTTGCTTGTTGTTTTCCTTTCGTATTAGATGTATATATGTATAGATATGAATGTGTTGGAAACGAACGTAGGTACTGTATTGAGATTGTGAATAATGTGAAGGATATCGAATACTTGTAAACATGTTACAAAAAGCAAATCTGGTGTAAGCTCGAAAAGTGGGAGAAAACGTAATGGGCTTTGTGAAATTATTTTTCATGAATTTGTTTTTGTCATATGAATTTTGGAAAAAGATAACAAGATGAAAGAAAAGTGAATAGCTTATGTTGTTGAATGAAATGAATGATTTTGAGAAAAGTTCTTAGATATGTATATTTCTGTATAAACCGTCACGTTATGTATATGATATAATATAAAACATTTATGATCATAGCTATCTGTCTGTTGTTATTGTTTAGGATCATATTGGGATCCCTACTAGATTTTATGTTCATCCCACGTTGCTAATCCTTTTTCAGGTAATTGTCGAGAAGTGTTTCAAGATCAATGATCTTCTTTATGTGTTGGCCACAAGGCCTATTATTCGTGGACGGAATGCCATTGTTGTAAAAGGGTTAAACCCTTTCTTTTAATTTAAAAGATGTAAGCTTACGGGCAATTTATTTATTCTTAACTCAAGTTGCATTTACTTCATATTCAAGTGAGAGAACCTTTAATAATAGTACTTGTTATTATATTGAATTTCCGCGCATGATATTTGAAATTGTGTTGTAATAAAGGATTTAGTAATAGTATCCGTTAACATAAAAAGTGGGGTGTGACAGCCCTATTTCAATAATTCGAATCGTTCATTTTGTTGGATATTTTATATATATTTACACAAAAAATTAAGACGATTTGATAACTGTAACTTATTCAATTTATTGTGTATGTCACAAAAAAAAATTATGATTTATTTTTAAGACACAATTATCGTCCTTTTTTTTTTATTGTGACAAACGCGATAAATTGAATATGTTATAATTATCGGATTAATCTAATTTTTTGTGTGAATGAATTAAATGAAATACCTGTCAAAATAAACAGTTCAAACCATCAAAACGAAAACCGTGTTGGGATCCATTAGTCCAAACAGCACTCTCCAGTTAAGATTTTAGATTGGAATGAATCTGTCTTTTAAACCATTGTCAAATTTTAAAATGTGTGGAGCTTTTTTGTGTTTGGCAAGTGGGTTTGCAGGCTTTTTTGGCTATTTTAGCCACAAAAAACAAAATAGGCTATTTTAGCCATAACAACCAAAACATCACATCCAACCCACAATCATTACATTCTTCTCTCACAAAAAAACTCAAAAAAGCCAAAAAGCCAAAAAGCCCTTCCCAAACCAAGCTTTTAAGCCCAGACTAAAATAACCAAAAAGCTAAAAAGCCAACCCACTTCCCAAACGAAGGCTTAAAATACTCAACGTGAGGCTGTTTTGGTAACAATATAGAATAGCCTAAAAGTAAAAAAAACAAATCAATATAAAAAAGTCAGATCTTCTATTTTCTGTACCGTTTTTTTTTTCCTTCTTCTTCTTTCTTTCTGAGTGTAAAAAGTTAAATAATTAACTAAAATAGTTACTTCTCAATTTATATAAACCAATTAAGACTAATTTAGAATTTGTTTAAGAATTTAATTTTTTAATAATTTTTTAACTTCTTATGAAATGACATACAAGAGTACAATCAGAGAGAGGTTTTTTTACTTCATTAGAAAGTCTTACTATGGCCAATTTTGAGAAGTGTTTTGTTTTGAAAAATGTGTAAAAAATAAAGAGGTAATATGATTCAAATAAATCAATAAATTGACTTTTTCCTAATTGTAAAAATAGGCCTATAAAAACAAACTCTCATCCCCAAATTATGAGAAGTTATTTGCTAAGTTTATCATATCAAGTGATTTTGTGTTTTGTCGGGGGATATATTAACATCTTATTGAAAAAATAAGGGACAAAATAATTATATATTCTCCTAATATTAAAATGACACCACATGAATTAGATAAGAATTTATAAAATTTAAAAAAATATATTAAAAATTATTTTTAAGAATTATATATGTTGATACATAGTATGTGTTGATTTTATGATTAATCTTGTGTTCCTTAATTTATTCAAAATAGAAACCTTTTATTGACAAATTAGCAAATGGTTTTTTTTGGTTTGTGATGATAGGATTTTAATATTGCCAATTAAACCAGGTGGTTACATTATTGGGCTTCATTATTGTCAACAAAAATAGGCAGATGATATTTCAATTAAATGGCTACACTTCATCCGGTCACTTGGAACATCCTCACCCTTCAAAACTCAATTGGTTTACAACTGTGCTAGATGCATTTAAAAAAAAAAAAAAAACAAATAAATAAATAAATAATTTACAGAATAAAGGAGTTCAGAAATTGTGCAAACAAGATGAAGTAAAATTATTTAGATTTTGGTCCCTTAGAGAAATTTAAGTAAAATTCGTATAGATTTTGAAATCAAAATATTATTATATTTTATAAGTACTCAAAATTGCCAAATAATTCCACGATTTGGGGCTTCGAAAATAATAATTTATTTTATAATCACTGAAAAGTGTGCCAAAGTAATGAAAATTGTAACACTCATACTCCTTGAACTAATGGTATTGAGCATATTTGATTCACGTTAGAGTATTGATTGAGATGGTATCATAATGTTATGATAGGATTGATGCAAAAGTATTGATTTGGACAATTGTTCTATGAACAGTGTTCACTCTTCCATCTTTTTTTCTTTACACACTTTAAATCTAGATATGTGGTTAGAACCATTGAAAAGTTTGTTTTTGGAACTTCGATTTAGACATAAGAATGAACTAAAACGAAGTTCGGACGAGAGGGTTATACCCGTTTGAAATTTGAAGAACAAGTGAAGATCAACATTTTGACTGATTAGAATGCGATTTGTTTGAGGTTTCTCTTTGGGCCTTCATCTTTTGCTCTCATCCTTGAGGTAAGGGTACTCTTAACTTAGTATATCTATAATTTAAGATGTGTATGTGATATTTTCTTAGTTCTATGTATGTATGAGATGATTATATTGTAGTAAATGAATTTTGATGCATTTAAATGGTATTTTACTCAAATTTTTGAGAGATTTGGAATAACTCTTGATAATTATGAATGTTAATGACGAGTATTTGCTTTGGAAAAATAAATGAGGGAAAAGCCCCAATTTTGCCCAAACCCTAACTTTTTAGTTTTCTTCAAAAGACAAAGTTTTATTCAATTGCACTTTGAATCATACATTTGAGATGATATTAGTAGAAATGTGTATGAAGGTTGATTTTTGAGTTGTTTTGAAATTTTATATTGAAATGAAGGATATGAGATATTGTTGAGATTGTGAAAAGTGAATTTTTTTGATTGTTGGTTATGTTAATTCTTTATTGAAGCATTGAATGAATCATAGGTAAATTGAAATATTTACAAACTCATGCATCCTTTTGTATTTTTCATAATGTTAGTTACATGATTATTACAATCTCTTAGATTTTTGTGAAAAATATTGAAAAGGAGTTCTGGTAGTTGAGTCGAGTTTTGAAAATTTGATGAATATTGTATTGGTACCCGCGTGGGGATTGAAGGTGCCCAATTGTCCTATCTTGAGCTTATCATTGGACGAATGTGAGAAAATATTTTTGGGTGTCCACTGGTCTTGCCGTATTATGAGCTGGCAAAAGTGGAAAAAAGGATTTGTGTTTTGGATGCCTATCACTCCGTTGTATTGAGAGCGGCAAATGTAAGGATATTTTCAGTATAAAAATCTATATATATGTATGGTTTTATGGTTATTGCTTGGGACGTCCTTGCGTATTTACCGCTCCATTTTTTTTGATGAGTTTTCGAATGGAATTTGTGCATTGAACATCATTGACTTTAAAAAAGAAAATATGGATTATATCATGGTATGTGCATAACATGATCATATGCATTTCAATCATTTATATACTCTGTTAATAGTATTGTACTGGATATTAACTCACCCAAATCTAAGAAATTTTTTTGAGCTTGATGTTGTGACTCCGCACGTAGGCTCATTTAATATTATTTGTTAAAGCTCCGGAGCTAATGCATTTTGGGATTGAATGTCCACTCTTCTTGTATAATCAAGGGGTTGCCTTTGAAACTTATACGCCATTAAGGCATCTTTACTTTTGATTTCTCTAATTTTTGAATTATAATTTGTTTTGTTATCACAAAATGTAACAGTTTAATATAGTTCAATGAGAACAATATTTACTTAATGAAAGACAATATTTTCTTTAAAGCGTTTTCTTATGAGAAATGAATTTATTTGATAGCACTCGGTGAATATTTAATAAAATTGGTTATATTAAAGGATTATAAATTTAAGGGTGTTACAAAAAATTTCAAAACTTTTGATTGCGAAGTAAAATTTTTATATTTTGGAGGAGCTGGAGTAAAATTGAATACATTTTGAAGGGATAAAATTGTAATTTTTTTTTATAAATATTCAAAATTACATGATAAAATGTATTAGTTTTTTTTTTTTTTTTCCTTTGTGGTGTGTTTATATGCAAGTCTCACCTCTTTATCTCTTTTGTGATTCATTTCGTGAAACTTTTTTGTACATTTAATTTTTTTTCAATGGTTTATGCTTCTAAGTTACGAAAATTATTGTTATTACTAAAAAATAAAATAAAAAATTAAGTATATTTTTTTATTACTAAAATGATACATTAATAATATTTTTATAATTAAAATATATGTTGATAAGTTGTTTGTTTAAGAGAGATCGGCACACAAATTAATTTCATTTTGTTTTTAGATAATTATATGCAGGCGGAAGAAATAGAAAAAAAATTACAAATATATGACGAGTGTAAGTGTGCCTATGATAGTATGCAAATAAAAGATTGTGAGGCTACAAATGTTACTTGCATCTCTTAAAGGTGAAAAATGTAAGGTGATGATAATCAGACTGAGACAAATATCATATCTAAATTTAGATATGGAAGCGGATTGAAGAAAGGAAGAGAGGGAGAGATATTAGAAAGGTGGGACAACCACAGCCATCTCCATCTCCATCTCCATCTCCTTTCCTCTGCAGAAAAATCCAGAGAAAAAACATGGGGGAATTAGGGATTTGTTGGTGTTCTGCTTAGATCACCATCTCTAGTTGAAGTGACGAATTGTCAAATCAATTATGCAACACTCCACCTTGAATGATTTTTTTTTTTTTTTTTTTCTTGAACACCACCACTTTGTACGATTGAGACAAGCAATTAACTTCCCAAACTGATCGATTAATAGTAGTTTGTCGTTTTTAACTCCTCGTTTTTCTCGTCTTTCCCGTGAGTCACGCTAAAGTTTTGGAAAAAATATCGGAAAAATAATTTTAAAAAACTCAAAAGTTTAATTCTTGATATTTAAAAAAATATACTCCCTTTATTTCAAAATAATAATTTTTTTTTGGAGAATCTAATTTTTTTTGATAGTACAATTATTACATTTGAAAAAAATTGATTTTTCAAAATTACTCTTTTGATAGTACATTTTTTTGGGAATATCAATGTCATAATTGTAATTTTTATATTGTTTAATAATTTAAAAGAAGGGCAAAATAGGAAATTTATATTATTTTTGTACTTGATTTTTAAAGAGGTACTAATATTTTGGGACAATAAAAAATAGAATAAAGAACTAATATT